ATTTATTTATTTACAACTAACAATAAATTTATAACAGTACTTATTATTTATCACTCGCAATTAATAACAACACGAGTGCATCGATGTTGGAACTCCCTGAAGCACAATTCGATTTGCTTATATAGCAAATGCCCATCTTTCTCCAAACGACTCGAATGTTCTCGAAAAGAATGCGCCTCGATGTCTATCGGGATTTCTAGAGTATTCGCTAAATATCGTTAAGTTTCAAAAGTTTATGGCGTACTTTTTTATCTCTACACGATCATATTTTAAACTGTTAAATTGTTTCTAACTTATAGAATAAATGTTTATTTATCCACAAGAACTTGAGTTTCAAAATACTTCTATTTGGAAGAGCGCGCGCGGCTTAAATTTCAAATATTTTCTTTGAATCTACAATTTTTATTGAACAATTTTATTTGGCATTCACGCGGCGTAAGTTTCTAAAATTTTCATTAAATCTACAGATCTTATTGGATTGGATTCATACTTCTTTTTTAGGTTTACCGTCATGATAACATGTAGTAATATCTAATCTTGCGCGCGTTTCCTGAATGCTCAATTGTCTTCAATGCTGTCACCGAGGGTTCTAAATTGTAATGAACGTTTCTGTCATAAGACGCTCACGAAATTAATTAATTGAATAACTTAGAACAAGTGTAACTGCATCACGTGTGCGTAACTAGACTTTACTAAATAAAATTGGATAAGTAAAATGAGCTTGAAGCTAATGCTTTAATTTTTAACGGAATCAACATCATACTTAAAGAAATTGGAATCTATTAGAGCAGCAAACTTTCTTTGTAAAAAATGATTAAATGCTATACCCGTCCAGTAGCAGTTTGGAGAGATAATAATAGAGTAATTAAACCTTATCACGTATTGCCTAAATAGCTTCCTCGCGACATATCCAAACGTAGAAAGGGATTATGTTAGCGATTGTTATCTCCTAAAGGTCCACAAAATAAGGTCGATACTAAATGTGGTGTACTCGCAATATATATAGCCAAAGCTGATACTTCACTTTCTATATACCAACCTCGATAAATCTAAGGAAAGAAGGGAATATTTTGGGTAGTAAAATTCCGCATACAACAGGCATTTACCCTCTCGTATTACTCTAATAAAACTTTTAAGTATCTAGGAGTGCGGCTGAAGTTCTCTTTTCCCTCATGATTTTGTTCACACTTTTTCCATTACAAGTTGTTTTTAATTTAGCTTTCAGTGAATAATAGGATTCCGTAGAGTCTTTTCAAAACATTCATAAAACTTGTCTACGTCTGTCATTACGAGCTCCTCACGGTTGTAATATTGGAAAATCTAATTTCTTGGGGAATTACCGCTTTTCGGGGGTTTCGTTAACGTATTAGCTTTCTCCTATTTAATTATTAAATTACATACACGTCAAACGTTATTTGCAAATAGCGCAAAGTGCTTTGCTTGCTTACCACCCTTTCATAATAATATCATCAAACAATTTTCTGATATGAAACTAAGATGCGGGGGTGACATTTTTATCCTATCGATACCATCGTTTCTAAGATATTGATCTAAGAAATCTGAGAAACAACAATGGGAGGGTTTTTTAATCTGACAGACTATACAGAGCATCAAAACGATTATTTCTTGTCAGAACCTCAATTGTAATTTAATTTGAATTTCCCCTCTATCAAATATGTAGGTCCAGGTATGCGCATAAGGTGATATGATACCGTCGCGTTGTTTACTTCAATGTAAACAATTTTATAGTGCATATTGTTACTAATAAAAATAATTGAAATGTAAATTTCTATCATTGACAGGTTATGGGCCGCAATGTTTTCACTGCTACTTAATTAAATACTGAAAACAACGTCTACGAATATGAGCAATCAATTATTAATAACCGAGAAGTTGGAGGGCTCCTCAAACTATAATAATTGGAGTTTTTCCATGAAATTACTTCTTATTCACAAAGGATTGTGGGAACACGTCACCAAAGAGGATGTCAAACCTGATGAGAAGGCAGCGAATGAACGTGCCATGGCAAAGATTGGGCTACTTGTTAAATCTTCTCTGTACCCATATATCCAACCTTGCAATAATACCAAGGAAGCTTGGGATGTCCTGGCTCAGTGTGATGCGTCAGTTATTTCGAATAACACTGGAGGGTCGCACTCTTGATGAGTATGTAGCACTAGTTCTATCGCTCACGCTACAGCTATCTGCAATGGGCAAACCACTTGACGATGAATTCGTAGCAGTCATTCTACTAAATGGTTTAACTGAAGAATTTGATCCAATGGTAATGGCTCTCGAAAGTTCTTCTGCAAAAATCACTACCGACATAGTGAAGAACAAGGTACTACAAGAAGCGTCTCGCCGCAGTGCATCGAAGTCATGAAAGCCCGGATGGTACGGCATTTTCCACGCGATATGACCAACGCCGCTGTGATATCTGCCACCGTACGAGCCACAGCACTCAGTAACACCGAGGCAAGCGAAAAGGGAAGAAGAATACAGCACAAGCCACGTCAGGGACGTCGTCTGTGCCAGCCAGTTCATCTCCCCGGTATAATCACCCCAACCAGACCAACCAGTCCAATCAGAAGAAGAAGTCAGCCAACAAAGTCGGCAATAGTAACACGCACGTGAGCTTCTTTACTGTTATGGCTGCTAATGTTACTACTACTGATTTTATCTTTGATACTGGCGCTAACATTCATGTTGTATCTAAAAAACATTTATTTACAAATTTTGAATCTCGTACTATGCTAAACATTACTTTGCCTAATAATGAAATAGTCAAATGTCCTGGTAAGGGTGATGTCACTATTCCCATGGGTCCTAATTCTAGTATCACGGTCCATGATGCATATTTTGCTCCTAGTTTCTCAGCTAATCTCATTTCGGTTAGCCAACTTGTAGCAAAAGGACACACTGCCACGTTCACAAGTGATGGCTGCCAGATTCATTCACCAGAAGGTATTGTAGTCGCCACCGCCACTCTTAGAGATGGAATCTACGTACTGGATCGTCCTTCTACTAAGCACATGATACGTCAGGCTACAAATGAGCAGCAATCACAACCTACTGAGACTATACATGCTATTTCAAAGCCT